GATGAAGGTGGAGCACATACGTGGGGGCAGTCCTTAAAAACGTGCGGCCTCTCATGCAATGGCATAAGAAAAGTTTTCTTTTTGCCAGGCTGCTTTTGAAGTGCACATGACCAGACCGGTTGAAGAAGAACAAGAGAGGGGAAAAAAAGACAAAGATGACAGGCCCTGAAAAATTTAACAAAAATAACACCGAACATGTGTTGGGCGGGGCGGGAAGGGGGCGGGTTTATTTTTTCTTCTGCTTTCGGTTGTTGTGTGTGCCAAAGAAAAACAATTTACAATGTTTTGCTTCTAGTTGAAGACGTTTTATTCAATGCCAAGCAACAGCAACAACAACAACAACAACAACAAGAAACTAAGAACTCTTTAGAAAGTTTTGTTTTTTTTTGTAATTTTTTCTCATTTTTCTTGTATTTTTTTGCGCTGAAGCCCGGTACGCGGCTTTTGTGACAAAATTTTTACCCATGACTTGAGCGAGTGCCAAGAAAAAGCGGCGACCTTCTAACAAAAGGGCGAAAAACAAAGCAGGAAATGGCTCAGGATATTGGCGGGCGGGCACGCGGGGCCAAACGTGCGTGCAGCGAGCGTGAAATGCGACAACCCTGGTCCGAGTCGCTTAAAGCGCGCGTATCTGAAAGATACATTTAATAGAGTGTGCTGCTTGAAATACGCTGCTCACTTGTAGCTCGCTTCTATTTGCAGCTCCTTGGCCCGAGCAACTACTTATGGACATTTTAGTTAAATTTTACGAGGGTTTTAAACGTCGCTTTAGCCCCGATTTCTGCAGCCAATCTATTGAAATTGCGGTCGAGCTGAGGCCGAACAAAAAGGTCAACACATTAAATTTATAATGCGATTGAAAAGGACGACGAAAGCGCCAGCATTGCGGGGCTGTACAGTCCACTCTGTGTGTGTGTGTGTGTGTGTGTGTGTGTGTGCGTGTGTATCTGTGTGGGTGTCTGTGCACTGGAAAGTGCCTTTAAGTAGGTCAGTTTGGTCTGTCATAAAATGCAATTGGGGCGCATTGAAGTGCCGCGATTCCGACAAGTGAAATGTCAAGTTGTAAATAAGCCGGCGAGCAGAGAGAAGCAATTCGCGTATTGCTGGGCGTATGGGCCCCGAGCAGAGGGCGTGGTCAGCCGGGCGTGTCCTGCTGCTTTGATGCCAGCTAAAAGGAGCTGCCTTCAAAGTGACTCAAAGTGCTCAAGGAAAATGAGTTAAACACTCAAGTAGCGCAGAGATTGCATTTCCAGATACATGTCAATTCCATCTGAGGCAAATTCATTTAAATCGCATTTAAAGTAGTTTTTATAAAATAACGTACAGTATAATGTGTTAAACTGGCTCAATAGTTATGTGTACAATCAGTAAAGCTACCCAGTTTTGTATATTTTTTGCAAATAATAACTTCGGTATGCCAAAGAACTAATACCCTAGCAGACATTTGCTTTTGAGAATAGTGCAGCATTAAACTGCATAAATTGATATATATATTTACCACATAGCTAAATCTAGAGCACACTCAAATTGCTATGATTTAAATATATTTTATTGGTCTCGATAACAGACATGGTTGATTTTCAGGCCCTGCCACTGCCAGAGGCCAAATTGGCTAAGGTCGCCACAAAATTTCCGTTACTTTACAGCGTTAACAGAAACGACCTTCATCAATATATATCAATATCGAATCAAATGACAAACTGCTGCTGGTTTTATTGACAAAATGCATGTCAATGTGTCAAGCGACACAATCAACGCCCCAAAACCAAAAGCCAGAAGCATCGGTTGCCCTACAGGCCTGTCATAATCAGAGCTCGTTCATCGAGAGAACTCGTATTTCTCTATTGATGGGCATAAATAAAACAAAGATTCCAAATAAAAACCTTAAAGGGCTGCTGTTCGAATTAGCAACAAATCAAAAGCAAATAAAACAAAATATGTTATATATAGAAAGACAACAGCGCCTTGCAGCAAATGAAGAGTGACGGGGCCCTCAGCTCTCAGCTAAATAAACGCCTTAAAAAACGACGTGCGGATAACAATCACAGGTCGTAAACTATGTAAAAAATGCAAGTATTTGCATACACTAAAAAGAGTTAAAAAAAGTCGAGTTGAGTGTCATTAAAAAAGCCAGCGACTATCAAAACTAACTGCCCGGTAGACATTTGGTTGGTTTTGTTTTTTTTCTGTCGTGCTGGTAATTAAAACTTGTTGGCAGACTGTCAGGCAGCGCGAGTTAACAAGTCGGCAGCATCACAGACTCAAAGTGGGGGAGGGCGGTGCGAGGGTTCAGATAGAGAGCTGGCGAAAAAATATTATTTAATTGTGAGGCGAGCGCTAATTAAAGCCGACTCCGCAGACTCAAAGCTGTAGCTGAGACGCGTCTGTCGGCCATTGGCCATAAAGTCAAACAGTTTACGGCTGCTGGCTGAATTGACTGCGAGAGGGGGGGGAGGGTGCTGCTCGTGGCAGCTATTTATGTTTATCGACTGGTAGCTCTCTACTGACACCATCATCATAGTCAACATCATCATCTGCCGCAGAGACTGGCCTCTAAGTTAGTCATAACTTGAATGCCAACACACACACACAAACATACACACACACACACGCTTTTACGCCGAGTGGAGATGTCAGCGCAACTTATGGTAATTGTTGCAAATTATTTATTTATTTATGCACGCGGCTGCTGCTGGTGCTGCCGACGCTTTTGTCGCCTGATTATGTGCTTATTTATAAGCGCAGGTAACTCGACACATAGCCCAGGCTCCTATAAGGATGTGCGATGCTAATGAGATGCGGCCACAACGACACAACGAACACAAAATCCACATATGAATATCAATTATGAGACCTGCGATTCCCTAACCTATTGAGTGGGCATAAGCCAGGCAGATATCACTTTATCTTGAGCTAAGCCAACAGGAAGGAGCCGGGCTGGGCCGAGCTGAGCTCATCTGGGCTGGGCTGGGCTGGGCTGGTCAATTGAGTCGAGGGCTGGCTGTTGAAAGCAGACGTCTAGACGCCGAGCGGCTGCAGCTCAGAATGAAGAATGCTTTTAGACAAAAATGTTTGGCTATTTGCATGAAAAATTCACGATTTCAATTTGTAACAGAATTTCACTTTAGACAGCTGCAAATGTAGCAATTACGATTTACACTGAGAAAATAATAGATAAAGATATAGATGATACGCAGTCTAAGATCTGTTGGCTAGGTTTTAAATTAAGGCACTGAAAAAGTGTTTAAATAAAAAGGGTATTTGGGCTTTGTACAAATGCAGAGGAATGCATTTGCTGTGCAGCATCAAGAGTTGCTTCGATCCAGTCAAGTACATTTAATCTCATGTGTGAACTGATTGATCTCAGGGACTATAAAAGCCGGACACTTCCAATGTGGAACTTAATACTATTTCATATCTAATTTTTTCTTTCAAAATCAAAATCATACTCAACATATATTTTATTTGCTTGTGATTTCTTCACACAGCAAGTATTTTAGCAGCACACAAAATTCCATTTAAATTTTAAAAGTTTCAAAATATTTATTTTACAGTCAGTGCCTCACAATCTACTCTTGAACTGAGATCCAATTACTTAAATATTTAGTTGTTAGTTTTTAGAGAAACACATTCAGTTTATCGAACAATATCTTTTTAACAAACTAGCTTAAATATTTATAAAATTCTAGAAGAGCATTCATGTGAAAACGTTTTCAAAAGTGGATGTAACACTCGAAACTACCGTTCAATTTGCCAATTAGCTTAACGAAAAACAAGAGCCCCAAAAAGCAAACAAGTCGAAAGTCATGGCTGCAACATTGGAAATTGTTTATCGGCGAGAAAACACCTCAAGAAGCGACTCGAAGCGATGCGAACAACGAATGCAATTAAAATAAATATATGCAATATCAAATAGTCGCAATGCAGCGCCCATTGACACCCCCGCGCCCACCCCAGGCAAGCGGCGAGCGGCAGCAGGGCGAGTGGTTAACTGATACCGAGTTCAAGTATCCAACAGATACTTTAAGCCCGAACGTGCCTAACCAAGCGGGCAACGGGCAACGTGCAACTGGCTGGACCGAGGCCAGTTATTGAAAGAAAATTGCAGTAGCCATGCGAAAATTTTGGCATGCAAAGCCAGTTGGAGGGGCAGCAAGTGGTGTGCGCTGTGCGGCAAGTGCGGCAAGTCTGGGAGTGCATCAGCACAAGGGGTTCAACTGATGCTCATGTCTTGTGCATGACTTTGGGAATCGGTGCTAGTCGGGACCCGCCCGGTTTCTAATGCGCATTCGCTGTCTGCCGTCAATCCATTAAAAATTGTAACAGCCACAAAACGTGGCACGTACGGTTGCATACACATTTTGATATTTGTTCGGCTGCTTGTTCGCCGGGCCTCGGTCAGCAGATAACATTTGTATTTAAAAGACACTTTACGCCGGTGCCACAGCCTCAGCCACAAACCGGTCGCCGGTGACCATTTGTAGTTTATCTGTGGCAAATCTTGAGGTACCGCCACATGTCAAAATGTCAATTTTTTTTGTGGCACGTCTCGCTCTCCCTCTCTCTTACTCCACTCTCTGTGTGTGCTTGTGGCATGCAAAATGCACATGCCACATGTTGCGTAAACTAGTTTTGCGATATATCACCTGAGACCTGCGACCATCGTCTGCATAGTTTCCTCCAATGTCCGCACTTGCAATTGCATATTTTATGCGAACGAGCACATCTCGTACCGCTGCCAACATCCAAAGCCATTCGGCTGTCAGTCCCGTGTTTGTTGTAATTCAATTTGAGTCTCTATGATAGCGTACATGAATAGCAAGCGACGGGTTTGGCTTTGGGTTTGGGTTTGGGGTACAGTTTGACTCTGGGTTGGGGGAATTGGTAACAGGCAGCCGCCAGAGCGTGTTAAACAACACGTGAACAGAGCAGATTGGACACTTGGACACTTGGGCAGTTGGAGAGTTGTGCATTTAGATCAATATATAGTTGAAACTTACCCCAAAAGTTAGCAGCTGTGGATGCCAGTGCTGAAATTGCTGCCTTGCGGCTGTTAACTGTAAATAGAGCAAATTAAAAGAACTGTTAGAAAATATAGTTAAGCACTTAATTCAAAATGAGCTTGATTAAGTATGCAGCATGAATAGAAATTGAAAAAGATTTAATTATATATATATTAGATGAAGCTTAAATGTATCTAAAATAACTAGAATAAGTTTTGAACAAATAATCTAGTGAAGTCCAGCTTTAAGCTCACACGCATATTTCACACGTACACTGTAACGTTACGAGCTTTAAGCACAGCGTAGATAGAACTGGCATAAAAACAGTTTTTTTGTGGTCAAAAGCACACTAATACTTGTGCAATTACTTATATCTATAAAGATGTTCACTATGAAGAATATTAGATATCAGACTTATCAGCATTACTGCAACTGCAGTTTTTGCGTATTCTACCCAACACTTTGAGCTTTCGCGCATTGAATCCAACCGTTATTCCTTGTAATTATTGTTATTTTCTATTCTAAGAAAAGCTTTCGTCACGCCATGGAAATTACTTTGTTGAAAAGACTTTATGAGTTGCTGTCGCTTTCGTGTCTTGAGAATTTCTTTATTGTACGTTCCTTATTTTTTCACAGCATAATTAAGCACACTTTTAAATATTTTAACCTATGGTGTGCCGACTCGTAAAAACTAGAGTACCCTATAAAAAAAAAAAGAATACAGACCACCCAGCTTGCGTAGGCTGGTTGTGGGTCGATGTCTCGGCTGTGGGTGCGTGCAAAAAGGTCAACATTTTATAGGTATTTTCCGCTTGGGTCTCTGTTTCAGTTTCTGCTTCTGGCGCACTCTAGCTGATGGAAGGTGTTAAATAATAAATACGTCAACCTGGGAGTACTGGGAATTGGTCTGCCAATAAAAGCAGGCGCACGATTTGAAGTTGCGTGTTTTGACTTATCATTCACAGTTCACCGGCTAAGCCCGCTCACACCGTTCACCCCTTGCCGGAATGATGACATTTTAATAGCCCGACCCCAAAGCCTAGGCAATAATATTTGCTGACTTTTACGAGTTGTTTGTGCAACGCATTGAAACAATGAAATAAACCAACATTTTACTGCTGCCTTCGCCTTTTTTTGTTGCTTGTGAGTCCAGAGTGCCGCGCTTCCAGCTACCTTCAGCTACATCCTGGGCTCATTTCTAACGCGCTTTTAATGGAATATTTAAGCACCTGCACATAAAATCCCCGGGGTCCAAGCAGCCGGCTGCCAATTGGCACGTGCTGAGCCGCTTTTGATGGCTTATAAAATGCATAAACATATTTGTTATTAATTGCTTTATTTTGCTACGAATTGGTTAGTTATCAGCCGCATCGATTTTCCCAAAGCCGCTTTTAGTTTCAGCCCCCCCCCAACCCAAAAGTTGCCGCCGGCAAATGAAATTTTCATAACCAGCAAGCCCCGGAAACCTGGCATTAAATCTATTAAGTCATTTCTGCAGCCCGACAATAGCACAGCAGCAATTAAAGCCAAGCAATAACAACAATAACAAAAACAACAAATAATATAATAACAGCAAATTTCTGCTGCAGACTACACTAATTTAATTAGTCAGGGCACACAAGCCGAGGGCATGGGGGAAAGCGGGTAAGAGGACTAGTTGGCTGGCGTCTTGTGGGCCAGTCAAGCGTTTAGGCCCTGGACCTGGTCAGCCAGTTGCGTTAATGAAATCAAACTTGGAGCGATACAATCTTAACGAAAGCCTTCGCACATGAGAGCAGTTCCTCGAAGGTGCGAGAAATAAATGAATGCCAGCAGAAATTTGCTTGAAGGCGTAATATATTAAAGAAATATTTAATGGAAACTGTTCTGCTTGAAAAAATGAAAGAAGTTAGCTAGTGAAAATATTTCCACTCATAAAATGAAGCAGTCTAAAAGCTTGTGAATATAGTAAAAATTAAAAAATAAATAAATGCAAACATAAATAAAAACAACTGGACATTAAAAATAGATATTCTGCTAGTTCAAACCTATTTATATAGCTGCTAGTCGAATATTAAGCCCCTCGCAGGAAACAATATGTTTTGCTCTAAATAAATCCTAGACCAATCGCTTGCCGAGTTACCTGAGCTATAAATCAGAATCACCTTTGACTAGTTGCTCATGTGAATCGATCGATTTTATTGATAAAGGTTATCGTAAATGCCAGCGACCCGAGACCCTTAACCGATACATAAAACAATCGCCGAGGCAAAGGCAACACATGTCATTGCTCGGGATATTGTGACGTCACAGCGCGTCGTCTTCTACTCGTAGGTGACTCTGACTCTGACTGTGACTGCTTCCGACTGGCTGCGACACATAAATAAATATTATATTACCATCATACACACACACACACACATACACGTATTCCGAGGAAACCTTAGATCCACGTCGCACATGTGAGACACATTTACACTCCCTCCAGCTTGTGTGTGTGTGTGTGTGCGCTGAGTTGTTAATTAAATATTTACGCTGCTTATTTGCAAAATGAATAATTTTAGCATTTTATTTCGCCAGCACACAATGTGCTTCCCTTGTCTACGTGCCCCAACTTAGCAGCCCCCGCTCTTGCGCGCCCCTTTGTTAGAAGCCTGAGTCTCCGTGTCTGGCATTTTATGGCCGTTTGTCAACACTGCTTGACGGTGTGCAAACCTTTTAGCACACTTGCCTTTAGCTTAAGCCCGTTATTAGTTTGACTTGGCGGCTCTTTAAGTTCAACTGCCAACCCCGATGCCGAACTTTAAGAGCTCATAAGGTCGCCTTTAATTGGCGCACAATTCTCGTAAGCAGGCATGTACACCCCCGAGGGGTCGCCCCCCACAGCACAGGGCTTCCGCTCAGCTGTGACAACTCAACTGTGCCAAAGTGTGTGCACTTAGAGGCCAATGAGAGATAAGACACGAGCCCGAGAGCTGTCGAGCTTAAGCAATTCAAAATGTACTCACTTTTGAATAGCAAATGCTGGAAGATTTAGTGAGTACACAGATAGTTTGCGGAAGTCTTTAGACTTTTAAAGGGCACAGCTGCAAAATTTGCGAGTAACTATGTATTTGCTAAAAACTCTTAATTTAATCCTAATATATTTTAATTTGATATTTTAATCAAGTTCTTACCCTGTATAGCATAAATCTTCTTCTTCTTAAGGCATCTTATATTTTAATTAAATATTTTATAAAATATTCTTGTGTTTCTGCTACATTAAAAAAAAACCTTTTTTAGTTTTATTAACTATTTTAATATATTCTTGTATTTCTAATAAATCAAGAAGTCTTCTTTTATTAAAATTAAATATTTTAATAATATTCAGGTATTTCTCCTACATCAATAACAGATGCTTAACTTAAGCATAGCACATAACTTTTAATTGGACTTTAAATACATTTATTTATATTTAATTTAATAATTTTAATAAAATATTTTCATCAAATTCTTGTCTTCTTACAGCAAAAACCTATAACCGACGCATAGAACTTTCAATGTAAACTTATATTTCAATTAAATATTTATATAATTTCTTAGACAGCAACAAATTTCCTCTCAACCTCCCGCCTAAAGGCCCATGGCTGCTCTAGATCCTACTAGAGCTACCTCACGAAAAACTTATGCTAAATCAACTCTGTTGAACTGGCCGCATAAAGACCATAATTGGAATTGAAAAACCGAAATTGTAAAACAATTTGAGCTATAACAATATGAATCAACAAACAGGAAGCAATTATGCAGCCAGCAAAAATATAATATTTTTATATACGATTTCGTTTTTCACTCTTTAACTTATGTCATGGGTTGTACGGATATTTGTCTGGTTTTGTTCGGCGCTTTCGTCTATTCATTGATTACACTTCTGTTGATTTAACCCAAATAATTTTCGAGTCAAACAAACATTAAATAAACAAACCAACAAACAAACAAACAGCGCGCTGCACAGCGCTAAGCAGACAAACAAAACAAATCAGCAAAACGCGCATAGGGAAAATCAATAATTTTGGGTGACTCCCCCCCTTCCAAATCGAAAAATCGAATCGAACAATTTGAATTGCCTCGCGGCAGTGTGGTTAGTGTGTAATTTGTGGTTTAGACAACGCACCCTTTAGTGAGTGTTGGAGATAGGAGGAGGCGGAGGAGGATTATATGAGCGGGAATATAATTTTATACAACTTTGTATTTACTTTTAATCAATTTCACCATAGGAAATGTCAACAAATTTCTTCGGGCGTTGCAGTTGTAACCGCACACTTATCTAATGTGTACTTAAGTGCAACTAATTATTGGGTCGATCCCATGTTTACCAAATAGACAAAGACAAACAAATGCTTGAAGGAGGGCGCTGCGTACGGATCGAGTGTGACCAAAGCGCGATGTGCGTATGGAAATCGAAAATCTAGTCCATTTAAATATTTAACGATGAGCAGGCGGCAACCGATTAAACTTTTAGTTAAATGCGGACAAGGGGCGTGGTCGGGCAGAGACGCCACCTGTCTAACAATGAAACAGCTAATTATTAATTAATTATGCAAAGTTCTCGCAGCCGAGAGGGTCTCGAAATTTAAATACAAACGACGCGACTCACCTTGACAGCCAAGTCCAAGTCACTTAACTAACATCAAGCACAGCCACAACAATAGCAACACCAACAACAACAACAACAACAACAAATGAAGTCATTTGTTTAAAGAGCGTTCAGTTAAAAGCAACCAAATTTGTATTTACTCAGACGCCAGACTGCGGGGCTCTAACTCTGTGAAATTTTTGATACTGTGTCAAATGGCTGTGAATGTCATTTTTGGCATTGCAAAACACGTTTCGCATGCATGAGAAATAAATACAAAAATTAATTCAAAATGCGAAGCGAAACGAATCGGGAAAAAATAAATAAAAAACAAACTACAAACTGAAAGCTAAATGCAAATTTGTGTTATGCGATATACTAAGTGTAAACGGCACAGACATGAAAATGTCATTTATTTTGCATGCTGGTTCAAACCCGAAGGCTATGCAAATTTAATTGATAT